CAGGATCATGCTGAGGAACACTCCGGCGACCACGCCGACGACGACGAGGACACTGCATAGACAACAGCTTGCAGCCGTGCTGAGCGGCAAAAACTGGAAATGCTTCACTCTAGACGTTTGGGGTCAGAAGCCTGATTTTCAGACAAGCATGCTGTGCTGTCGTCGGTGCGATGCCTACTTGCCATCTACCTCCTCGCAGCTTGACAGAACAACGTAGTTAACCCAACGTAGTCTTGCCGCAGGTGTCCAGCCATGGCGGTGCGAGCGCTGGTGGGCGCGCTTCTCCTGCAGCAAAGCGTCGCCATCCAGATGCACGAGCATGAAGATCACCACAAGTCTGGAGCGCATCGTCCGACCTGCAAGCAAGCATGCCTTCCGAATTGCCCGGCATCTTCCCGAACCGGCGTGCCTTGCATGCCTGTGGCCGACACGTGGCCGTACAAGAGCAACGAGTCCTGGCGTGTCGAACTGGGAGAGAGGATCTTGATGGCAGCCCATCCAAACCAGGAAGCCACCGAAAGTGCATGCGGCGGCTTCAAGTTGTTCGGTGACTCGGCTTGGTGCCTGGCTGCCTTCAAGGGTGATTACGGCAAGCTGGGCCTTTCCTTTGGGATTGAGGAGCGGGACCTCTGGAGCGAGACCATGAGCAATGACTTTCACATGCCGACGAAACTCTACGACTGCTTCCAGAATCCCAAGTCTTCGCCCGCTTTGGCGATGATCGCTCCGAATGCAAAGGGCTCATGTGCGGGAAATCCGCACCACTGCTACGAGACCCACTACGAGGCTTTCCGGGTCTGCCTTGGCCCCAAGCACGAAACAGTCAACCAGCGGCAGTACACTTCGCTGGCCGAGTTGCTCGGCGGGCGTGGTGAGATGTCGACGCATCTCAAGATTGATGTCGAGGGTTCTGAGTGGTCCGTCCTAGAAGATCTCCTCAAGAGCGAGGAGGATATGAAGAAGATCCGTACGCTGGACATGGAAGTTCACTTCGGCTTCGGTGCAGCATCTGAAGCTGCACACAACAAAGGAAGCAAGAAGGAGCAGCTTCAGCGGGAAGTGGGGATCTTTGAGCAGCTGGCATCCCACTTTGCAGTTACTGGAACCAACATCGAGACCAACGCTGATGGTTGGCAGCCAGCGCAGAGCTGCCCGAAGCAGCAGTGTGAAGAACCCTTCGTGCACACTGCCGGCGGTGTTCCTGTGAACCAGTTTGCCATCAGCTTCGTGAACCATGCGCACCTCAGGCGGGGAATCCCGAGCCCTGATGCAATCGCTGCTGCACACCACAGCCTTGCAGCGGACCATGCGGAGGACCACATGGAGGACCACGCGGAGGCAGATGCTCAGGACCACATGGAGGACCACGCAGAGGCTGATGCCGAGGACCACATGGAGGACCACGCGGAGGCAGATGCCGAGGACCACATGGAGGACCACGCAGAGGCAGATGCCGAGGACCACATGGAGGACCACGCGGAGGCAGATGCCGAGGCCGAGGACCACGTGGAGGACCACGCAAAGGCAGATGTGGAGGATCACGCCCAAGTAGATGCCGAAGACCATGTGGAGGACCATGCTGCTGACCACATGCAGGATCATGCTGAGGAACACTCCGGTGACCACGCCGACGACGAAGAGGACACTGCAGCCAGTGCATAGACAGCGCTTAGCTCACAGCGTGCCGAGCAGCGGACATTCAAAACAAGGCTCCCATACCTAAGACAAATTCATATACAATTAATGCAATCATACTTTATGCTCGTCATTGCGATCAATTCAGCTTTGAGGGTGTTTGTCTGGAAATACATGTTTTCCCGAGGTTCCGAGCATCTGCGAGCGCTGGCCATGGAGCCGAAGCCCCAGCAATCCCTTCAGATACGAGCAAGCCCAGCAGCAAGGACCTACACAACCTGGCATCGTGAACTCTTCAAGGACGAAAGGCCTTTCATCCCACAGTTCGACGTCTCAGGCAGAACATTTCGTCACCCGCCCAGTGCCACCAGTCTTCCATGCTGCGACAGCTGAGGATGTGGACCGCCACAGGAACACCTCGGCTCGCACGACGGCGATGTGGTGTTGGTGCTGTAGCACTGGGTGCAGCCTCCTGTGCCGCTGGGGCCAAGAAGCTTTAATTAATCCAAAAGCCTGTAAGGAATTGAGAGCTTCAGCGAACGTTGCAGACAGCATGAAGCAGCATTGTGGGATGGCCCGCTGTTTGGAGGCCCTTATCCAAACCGGACCGGCAGACTGACCTGTGCTGCCAGACCCCTGCCCAGTCTGCCCATAGCCGAGCCCAATGCAGAACCGCAAGGTTATGCAGTTGCTTGTCGTGGGTCGTCATTTTATTTGTATTTTCTGTTGGCTTTCTACCTTCGGCGTTCGTTCTTGCTGGTGCCTAGCTTCTTGGCTCCCCGTTTCGTCGTGCTCCGGCTGCCTGCCTTGTTGTTCCTGTGCCACCATGCCATGTTGACTTTGGCTAAAGCTGTTGTGATCATACGTGTTGCATATTTCGACGGATTACATCGGCTTTTTTGCGCTTTCTGCGGCGGCATGATGGCGGCATGCTGTGCACATTGGCCTGAACGTCCATCACCGTGAAAAATAAGTCTTAACGCCCTATACGATCTAAATTGTTGGCCGACCATTCAGGCCCATTCAGGCTGTGTTGGCTGACACTTGTGATGTCGAGTGACTTGTGTCTGCCCGGGCTGTGCATAGGCAAACCCACAATCCACTTCATGAATTGCGCCGCAAACCAGAGGCGGGCGCCGTAGAACATGGCAGCAGGACGCCGTTCGCACAGTTAACCGACAATGATTGTCTCTTAGCAAATCCTGGAACTGCCGGAACTTGACCCCCAACACAAGGCAGAAGGGTCTTTGTTGCTGCGGGACGCCTCATGTGGTGGACATCGTAGCTTGATGGCGGTTCCTCGATCTTCTCTGGACGGCACAGAGCGCTAAATGCGCGCACCGAGGCTGTCGCCATGGCCAGGATGGGTCAGCTCCTGGGCTGAAGACGAAGCACACGACGAAGCAAAGGAATGATGCACCTCAGCCAAGGTTGCATGAAGCGTACCTGTACCTCACAATGACAGAGCTTGGACCTTACAGGGCTGGTAGTCCAGCCATTCCAACCGCAGTCCAGGAATTGACGGGCCTGGTTTCACCTTTGCGGTTTCTCGCTATTGCTTGTTCCGCGTTGGGCGTACCCTGCGGTCTTGAGTTGCTTCATGCCGTACAGCTGTAGCTTGCGCGGGCCACAGCAGAATGCGCAGCTACATTCCGGAATTCAGTGTTCGGCAGATTGTGCTTGGAGCTGTAGCCCTTCAGGGTCCACGTCGCGGACTTGATGTCCCGCGTGGCCTGCGTCAGCTCCCCAGACAGGAAAACCGTGATGCTCAACGGTTTGACCGAAATGGACGGAAAAAAAGGTTTGACCCCTGCTTCCAAGCACGAGGCGCATAGCACGCTGCTGCAGACGCCACAGCTTTGGGAGATCTTGGGCTACGTGGAGGATGAAATCCACGCAGTTCTCTCAGCACTGCTTGGGCTTGTTTACGTCGCTGTTGGCCTCGTACCCATATCTGTCGCACTCGTAATTTCATGAGCTGCCTCCCACTGAGTCCCACTGAGGCTGCATCCCCTTTCGGTTTTGGGCATCCGTGCAGTCTTTCGTGACGTGGCCGCATCGAGATTGCTTGTCCTGCACCTGTATACTTAGCATGCCGGCTGAAACGTACTTGTTAGCCTTCCTGGCTATGAGGTTTTGTCCCGATGGCGGCAGTCCGCCGCTTAGCTCACCATGCATCCGACGTTTTACAACATACCGTATTCTGCTGAAGCTGTGCGCGAGCGACTTTACAAAGCAACTAATGCGACATGAGTTCGGGCACATGCGCAGGAAAGAGGTAGACGCAGGAGATCGTTGTGATGCGTGCTGTGTTTGCTTTCCACGGGGGTCGACCGAATCAGAGTCATCATTCATCAGATTTCATCAGGTCCAAACCACGAGACATGCCGGTGCGAGCAGCTAGGGCCTTCGTCCATACCACGCCTGCCGCAGCCTTTGGGAGAGGTGTGGGATGGTATGGGTCTTGGAGGCGGTTGAAGAGCGCTCACTGGTCTTCATGTAAGGTTTGCAGATGACTTTCCCGTTCATGGCGACGCAGGGGCTGTAGGGGCGACATGGGTAGGTCTGCTGGTACATGCTGGTACACTTGGTGAGCCTCGGGCTCAGAAAATCTAAGGGGACAGCATTCCGGAAGTCAAACCTGTAGGTCCCCGTCTCATCCAGGTCTTGATGGGGGTTTCTTGTTGCTAGCATCTCCCAAACACAACCCGCAGTATGCTCTATGCCAAGGCACGCTCGCCAAAACCCAAACGTGGAATCATGCTGCAGGTCGCACCGGATTTGCATCATCTCCACAGATCCCGGGGACGACAGGCTAGCGTGAGGATTACGAAGGGTTGGTTAGTTTCTGCTGCCACGAGAAACATAACGCAGATGAGTCTTTGGAAATACGAGCACACAACAAAGAAATTCTGGGACTGACCCGGGTTTGGACGAGCATAAGGCAGGCTCAGGGATTTTGGGAGGCAGGTGTTCGTTGCAGGCTACCGTGCAGCTCCTGCACGTTCAGGGTTTCATTGTAGAGGATTAAAGCGATCTAAGCGAGCAAGAGCCTTTAAGTGGAACGGTTGGACCAAGATTTTCACCCTGTCCTCCAGAGTTTGACGCTGCATGACCGCATGCTTTAGATTGTGATTCCTGACATTTCACTTGGTTTTTACGTTCATTGCCGTGATTTGCGACCGACCTGGATGTGCTTTTTGGTCAGACCCAATCTTCCTCGCCAGGGCTGTGAATCGTGTGTAGAGTCTATAGTCGGGCAGGACTCAGAAGGACAAGGGGGAAGTTCTCCGTGGGTTTCCTGTCGCATTCCGCACGGTGGCTCAAGCTTCAAAAGGAAGTTCGCGGTGCCACCGTCCGCCCCGACATCTGGCCTACGCTAGACGCAAGCACCCCGGTTAGCAGCACAGGACTGTCGCTCGGCGTTCCGCGACTGACAGCAAACCTTGCGCTCGCACTGCTCAGGCACCTACGACCATGGCACTGCCGCTAAGCATCCATAGCAACGATGGACTACGACGGAACGGTTTGGGTGCAGGAGTTGTCATGCGCTTGAAGAACTGTTGGCTGCAGCCATGTGCGAGAGTGAGAACCTGTTTCGACTGATCCAAAGTGCTACAGAACTGCTGAAAGACTCACCTCTACGTCGATGCAGGAAGCAGCCCTGTATAAGGCAAGGCACGTAAGGCACACAGCTTTGCAACAGTCACTCTAGAAATCAAAGGGAGTCGAATGTTCATGTCCACGGAGGTGGAGTTGTGAACAAGCAATCGCACCTTGGAATCCCCGCATACTCGAGCTGAAAACACATCTGAGGCAAGTTCCCGCCACGCCGGTGATCAAACCGCGTTGCCACGGGCTGATGGGTCAGGGACCATACGTGGTACATACGCACCGTCATTCACGGAGCCCGTATATAAGCAATTGTACTGTTCATGAGATGAGTGCAGCAGCAAGATTGCAACCATTGGATGAGAGCCCACTGAGCCTAAGCGGCTCACATGCTCATCGCCTGCGGCCGGGAAAGTTTGAATGGACCCATACCATTTAGAGACATGTTTGACGAGAAAACTCGAAGCAGATGCAAGCAAACTTCGCCACCTCTCAGCAGTTGAGGCGACTCAGCCGAGCTGCAGTTTGGCCTCGTTCTCATTTGTGCTGTGAAGCTGGCGAAGTGCATCAGAGCTCGTCCTCACAAGCCATGCCTTCTGTAGGCAGGACATGGGTTTGGCAACCTGAACAGCTCTGCATAGGCGAAATCGACAAAATCTAGGTGGACTGCCCAGCGTCTTAGAATCTTAGCTCGATGTAGGAGACTGGGCGGGACAACCGTGGAGGGTACAGAGCTTCTTCCAGTTTGCATTCACTTAAATTGACTTAGGCTTAGTGGCTTAGCTCAGGTCTGCCAGATGACTTTCTGCTCCCACCTCCAGCCACCGAGATGGACATCGATGGAAGTTGGGGGAGTCTCGCCCAGATGTTGTGCTGCCGTGTGCTAGAAAGGTGCAGAGGTTGCGAGGAACGCAAGCAGTCCGGAGATCTTGTGAATGCAAGCTGGCCCAGGAAGAAGGGAGGATACGAGGCTCGTGCTCCGAATGAAACTTGGATTCACTTGACCGGAGAGCTGGCACTGGGTTTCAAAAAGATCTCGGGTTGTGCCGTGCCCAGAGAAAGTTCATCGCAGAATGCTCTGGCTTCTTTGCTTGACATCCGCTGGTTCTGTCTACAGCCACCACATATCCTGTAGTTGTCCCGGGCTGAGCGAAGTGCCCCTTGTTGTCCCCTCTTTCGCAGGTTCCCATCTCCGGTATGACTGCTCTTGGCGCCGCGAAGTTGGCGCCCGGCCAGGCCGGTGAGTCTCTGCAGGCAAGCCTCTGGACTCCCAGTAGCTCGGTAGCTGTGTAAGGCATTCCGAGCACCGAAACTTGTTACATCATCAGGAGTCGCGACTCTAGCCTTCAGTTCTTGCAGGCTCGTGGCAGTCGTAGTATGTGTTGGTAGCAGTGGTAGTAGTAGGCGTCGTCGTCGTCGTCGTGGTCGTAGTCGTCGTCGTCGTCGTCGTAGTAGTGGTAGAAGTAGTAGTGGTAGTGGTAGTGGTAGTGGTAGCGGTAGTAGTAGTAGTAGTAGTAGTAGTAGTAGTAGTCGCAGTCAAGGGCATGGAATGGGCTTGGGCCGTTTGGGCACTTTAGACCCAGTCCTGTCTCTCATGCGCCCCTAGTCCCTAGTCACTTCACTGTCAGCAGATTCTGGCACCACCTACATACTGGTAAATTACGGTATGCCTCATTACTGGGGTGTGACATGGTGCGGGCACCAAGTTCTCATCGTGCCAGCACGATAGACTGCATGTGACCTGTTCCAAGACCGCCTCGACAAATGCCGGGAATGGAGAGAGGCGCCGGCACCTCACCAACCCTAAACTCCTGAACCCTAAAGTGGGGCTGAGCCGAGTGTTCAGAGTAGGAGTGACTTGATTCACTTGTTGTTTTCTTGTGTTTGGCTGGGATGGGCTGGGGCTCTGAATCGCGAAATAAAAGGTTCAATGTCATACTGGATTAGTTGTCGTGAAGCCTTGCCTGCCTGGCACGAGCATGAGAGTCGAATGCTTTTCAATCCATTTTGCTGTGACTGCTTCTGGTGCCAATTGGTGTAATTAGAAGTCACTTCTTCTTATTGCCGGTGGTACCATCACAGGGTTTCGAACCTCAGGAGTTGCAGCCATACATGTTTCGCGCAGTACATGTTTGAATTGGCAGGAAGTGCCTAATGCACCATAAACCAAGAAGAGAAAGATTATGAATCAAGCTTCAAGGCCTGGCTCTCTGGCCATTTGCCTAAGAGGAAGATGAGGCTTCCAAGAGAGCGGAGAAATGTCATCTCACATAAGCACGTCGGTGTGCACGGACAAGTCGAATCGGCTCGACGACGAGGTAAAGCATGGTACAGCTGAGCTTTAGAAGCACAACTTGGTGCGTGTCCTACAGCATTGTGGTTCTTGGCTTGAACGGAAGTCTCGAGCGCTAGCGCTGAATCGTCCCACGGATGCACGACCCGGACAGAAGGGCCCCGTATACGCGTCAATGCAAGAGAAGCGGCTTGTCAAGAGAGGGGTGCAGGAATGCACAAAGAGCTTGTAGCCGCTTGTCTTTGCGTTCTCGTGCAGGTGCCTCATCTTCCAGCTGCCAAAGCCCTGAGGATCCAAGATGCGCGAAGCTGGACCAGAAATTGATTGGTTTCAAGCCCTTACCAGCAGAGTGTTGTCTGGGGTTTGACGGTGGATGGGACTTGAGCTTGGAAGAGTTTGTCGTTAAGCAGAGTTTGTTGGCTTGGGCCATCGGTATTACGGTATAGGTGTACTTTCACATCATTCGAAAGTCACGGCTACGGCCAGTGCTGCAGAGATGCTGAGAGGTGACGATCGAATGCTTTTAACAGAGGCTTCCGAACCCAAAGTCGCTTGTCTCCTAAGCTTCGCTTCAGTCTGGACGACGATTAGCTTCCACTTCACGGGGCACCTGAAGGTGACGCTCGGGAGCCTCGCCGAGGCCAGATTTTTTCTCTCTGAAGCCACGGCCACGTCTCTACTTACAGAGTAGAGAACGTGGACGGGACAGCCGGGCCGCCGGGCTGGCCCTTCTTGCCCCCACCAGGTCTGGTCTTGCAGGCTAGGTCAAACCAAGCCAGCACCAAGTCTTTTACCTAAGAAGGCTGGAGGGTGAGGAGGGCCAGATGATGCGGACAGTTCACAGACCGTCTAGTGCAGAAGCATCCTAGAATTCCCTATGTCAAGCCGCTGCAACGGCAGGCATGTGACTTTCTTCCCATGGGCTGAGCCCTTGTCCATGCCTGCAATCTCTGGCAGTTCCTGTCGCGGGTTTAGCTGACAGAAGCGCTTTCACAACGAGGCTTGGGCGCGGTGTATATAGCCTCTCGCACGAGGCAGGCCACAGGCCGAGCCATGGAGTTTCGAGTACGACCAAAAATAGCTAGACAATGTAGACAAGTGGAGCATGTAGCCGTGGCAGCACACCAGGTGCATCTCCATCATCTCCGATCAAGAACACCAGTCAGGAATGTGAGCCCAGGGCAGTGCAGATCCGGCTTGACCCCTGCATGAACGAACCCTCGGCGGCCGCCTGCATGTAACCACCGGGAATGACCACTTCGCAGCTCAGAAAAATCTGCATAGTCCCGCGGTGGAGCGGTGGCTCTCAACACCCCGCAGTTTGAAGTTTGTAGGCGGCGGCTGAGGTTGCTTTTTGTGCTTCGCTTGTCACTCAGGAGAACTCCTCGCATGTTATGGCTGCAATCACGTGCCTCACCATCATGTAGGTGCATCGCTGCTGCAGTGCTGAATGCTTGGTGCTACACTTTTATTTATCCCAATAGCTTCAATCCCTTGTGAGCTTGCCTGTGCTTTAGGATGCAGTTGACATAGCGACCGCGAGGCGTGAGTTTGGGTCCTTCGGTTATAGTCATTGACGAATGCCATATCCGTGGAATCTTGAGCATTCCCGCAAATAGAGTTCACGGCCCGAGGCCTGATTGCTGCTTTTCCCCACCGTGCACCCTCCGAGCTACCATAACGTGCACGGGCCCTGCTGACGGCGTCATGCGAGAACCAGTGCATGGCCCGAGTACGTGCTCCAAAAATTGCTGCACAACGGACAGTCTGCATCCGTGGTCAAGCACAGTCTGAAGCAACATGCCATTAATCAGAGCATTGCCCAAAGCAGGCCTCGACTGTTTCCATGGAGTCGAGACATCTGCTTCACAAGACCCAGTCCGTGGCCACTCACGGTTGGACCGCATGCGCGCAAACTGCATGCATTAGGATGGCGCATGGAAGCCTTCCATGCCACGAAAAGCACAGGCCTTGCGATAGGAGCCTGCCCTTGACTGTGCCCTTGGGGAGTCAGGATTTCTTGTTTGGGAGGTTTGGGGGTATGATCCCCTGTGTTAAGATTCATCGGCAAAGGGGGGCTATTCAGCACTTGGTAAGCTTAGTCCTGCACTGAGTGCCTGCTTGTGCAAAGCCACCAAATACGAGAAGCAATTGCATCTTGCCAGTTGGTTTCTGGCTCTAAATTGCGGCTGGCGTGGTTGGCAAGACCTGTTCGAACTGCATGTTCTCGGGTTGCAGATTCTTCCACTGTTGCTTTGCAGGATACCTCGTCGATGTTAGATTGGCTGCGTCTGGTTTTGTCACGCTGCATATGCTGTAAGTTGCAGCTAGGTGGAAATTGCTTGACATTGTCGTATTTTGCAGCATCTCCGCAGGTGTTCTTTCCAGTGGAACCACAAACAAACGTTGCAACTTACAGCACTTGGAGCCCGAGAACAGCCAGTATCGCTGCTCATTACAGCTTTTGCAGCTTGACAACATCAGAAACGCTGCAAGGAACCAGAGATATCGCATGCTGCGTAGCTACTTGGTCAACAGTATGGAAAATAGTTTCGTTTAGACACAGTAGATGGTCACTTGTCCCCGAACGACATCCCCGAGGGCAGGTATGCATGGGCAAATCTCAATGATTTTCCGCGCCGACAGCTCGGACAGCTTGGCTGCAGAACTGACTGACAAAACTAGTGTTGCTCAGCGCGACCGTGTCGCGTGCGAACCTGCGTAGCAATCTGGACTCATGCAACTTCCGATTCGTCAAACTTTACCCAGGTACGTTAATGGCACAAGGCTGACTGAGGTAGCGGTCCAAGTCGGCTAAACTAGCAGCATCACCATAAAGATCGAGATGCTACCTCATCTCATGACCATCTCATCACGTCATTCTCATGACCATGTTCGCAATGATTATCGTTCGTCCGCTGTTTGTCGTATATACATTTCCCTCAATCGTCAATCGTCCTCCTCGGCTTTGCCGCTCATTTACGCACCCGTCCTTTAGCTCTAGTTTGGTTGGCCTGGCAGCTGGCAGGCTCCGAGCTTTGCGCGGCACAGCAGATGGGCGGGAGTAGACAGCAAACCAGGATTGAGACAACTTCAAGAACGATTCTTGAGAATGGTTTCCAAAAAAGAAAAACCAAACAAAAACCTGCCACACCTGTCCCATCTGAGCAAGTCCTCGTGCAGAGGGCCAGTTTTAAGCACCTGTCTCCCCTGCACCAATCCGCACAGAGCTACGGATCCCGGGATCCTGAATCAGTCTCTGTTGATCAGGATTGCCAGGATCCATAATAGGCAGCCGGCTCAGGCAGAATGCAGAAACTTCCAGTCGGCGGGGGATTGTGGAACGTCGTAGACCTGTTGCTGGTGATGCCTGACAAGTCCGGATGTCTCGACTTTTTGTTCTATCTGTTCTATGGCAACTGCCCAAACACCAGTGCTGCAGCCATCGGCGTTAATGTATAAAGCATATAGTTTCCTTTGCCTTCGCTGTCAGACCGTGTAGGAAGCGTTTAAACACCAAGTGTAGCAGAGCAAGTCGGACTGCCGATGTGCTGCGGCAGCTGACAGGCCCTTCTGCTTGCTTACATGCCATCCCCCTCAAGTGAGCCAAATGGCTGTAAAAGCCGAACTGCCAAACAGCCAGTCATGTATTGGAACGTAGTTCGGGGCATGGCTTGGCTTGATCCAGAGAGAGGTCGGGCCAGAAGTGAGTCGGGGCGCTGTCGAAAGCCTATATCTTCCGGTGCTGCGAGCTAGTACTGTGCAAGCTCCTGTCTTGGGTTTCGGCATAACTTCTTGATTCTAGGTTCTTGATATTCAAGCACCAGAAGCATCACCCTGCGCTCGCAGCTCGCGCCATGCACCACCTGCAGAACATGGACGCGAAAAGGATTGATTGCAGTTGTTTACAAGTTGACTGTGAAGATGCGACTGTCAATGAATCGGCTGGTTTTGAAAGTCTCAGTCTTTGTTACTGTTTTCGTTCCGCCGAAAGCGGGCACCTTCTTCCGCGATATCAGCATAGCGCCTCTTCCTGATGGTTCAACCACTGTTCAAACCATCGTTGTGCAAAGAGTCTTGTCTAGAGCCGGGGAGAGCTACGACGACGCACAACCCACAAATCCAGCACAGGTGGATCTGTTGTCGGAATTGCGGTAAGGATTCGGCACCGTGCGGAAAGCTCAAGACTGTCTGCAATCCCCGCCACAAATCCATCCCGATGATCCGTGCAGGCCACTCGAGATGAATATGGCCAAACTAGTCGCCAAGGACCGCTGCAACAGAGGGACGTCCACCGGCGCAGTTGTTTTTAGCACTGAGTTGGCCGAGAAGCAACTTGCTTGAGAACTTCTCCTTCGTGTGGTTACGTGCATTGCAGGACCCCCACGAACTTACTCAGTTCTGGAGCCTGACCTACCACTTGAACAGGTCCACGCCCATACCTCTCCCACTAGAGGGGTGCGGTGCAGTCATGAGGCAGCTGAACATGCTGATTTCGTTGCCTGCGAGATGAACCAGACAATATACTCACAGCAGCTGCTCCATGTCGTGGCACAGCAGACCGGCTACGCAAGCTTTCTGTAGAGAGTGCGTTGGAACCGCCGGCGGAGCAACTGTACAAAGAAGAACGGGTGTCTCCATGGCCCAGGTTCTACGCAAGATTGCATGGCTACCGATTTCGCAGGCGGCCTTCATCCTCCGTTTGCTTTGCTGTGTACTGACATGAGGCACACTTCAAGCGACAGGAAGGCTCTCGAATTCTATCGCAGGATCGACAGATGTTTGCTGCAGCTCTTACTGCGCAAGAGCTGGGCTTCGTCTTGCAGCGAGTGGTGTTGCGGTGGTGTCAACTCAGACGGTGCAGCCTCTGCAGGCCCGACATCAGCAACGAGGCCCTTTTCGAGATGCTGTATGATGGGCTCGAGCCTCCGAGGCCACGGCAGATCTGGGAATCGAACCGTGCTCAGCGTTCATGTGAGAGGCGCGTGCAGTGGTCCATCGTGCGCCTCATACAGCAAGAGTTAGAAGACAGGAGATTGGCTTGATCATGGCTTGATCTCCCGTGGTGCTGTGTCTCTCAGCCCAAAGCTGCACCAGCCGCGCCTTACACAGGACCTGTGACTTCGTCGTGTGGATGGACAGCGACGCATACATCGCCTCCTCGGAGCCACTGGAGACCGTGCGCCGGAGTTAGTCGAGCGCGGCGAGTCACACCGGATCAGAAGCATCTCTTGCGGCAGGTTCTGGTGCAGAACGGTCTGCTGAACTCCTCTGACCCCAATAGCTCCCGTGGTCGGCAACTTAGTCTATGACCGCTGCTCAGGCAGGTTTACGTCTTTACGAACACAAGGTGCATGATATCACCTCCTACCGAACGCAGAAGGTGCATCTTTTCGAGTCGAAGGCGTGATTGCTCAAGAGCCACAAGAGCCCTGCTGCAGCGATGGCGCAGCCGGTTGGAATGCCCATGATCGGCCTCGGCTGCTGGAAAGCCGAGAAGGGAGTGACGGAAGAAGTTGTATACAATGCCATAAAGGCCATACGGCAATGCGCTTGCCACATCACTTCAGGATGGTCTCAAACACTCTTTAGCTTCCGCTCTGTGAAGGTTGGCTATCGACATATCGACAGCGCTGCTGACTACGGGAACGAGCAAGAGGTAGGTGCTGGAATTCGCCGGGCCATCCAGGAAGGCGTATGCAGCCGCTCTGACCTTTGGATCACCTCGAAACTGTGGAATACTTACCACAGAAGGGAGCAGCCTGACACCATGGCTAGTCATGAAAGCATTTCCGGGCAGTCTTCGACATTGTTGTGTCGCTTCGATCCCACACAAGCTCCAGGAATGTTCCCTTGGCATGCCAGAGGACGCTCGATGATCTGGGATTGGCATCTTGGCCGAGTCGCGCAATTGTGCAGGGGAGACCCAGCAGTTGCTAAGCTGCACGCATGAGGACTACTTGGACCTCTACCTTATCCACTTCCCAATCTCGCTAGCATTCGTGCCGTTCGATAGATGCTACCCACCAGAGTGGACGGACAAGCCCGGGAATGCCGGCCACATGATCTTGGATCCTGTGCCCTATCGTCTCTTGGCGGCACTTGTCTGGCTTGAAGCACTTGCTGTTCGCCCCATCGCAGACGCGGACCATACCGGGCAAGCGAAGCCCCGAAACACAGAACAATGGTTCGATTCGTCGTGCTTTACATGTGGCCTCAAGTCTTGAATCAACCTGTCAGCTGTGAGAGTCGAAACTCGCAGTTGTGGCGTCTCAAGGTAACATCGCACTCTCCATGTGTAGGGTTCGGCCATGGTCCACCTTTCCTGCGCTCGCATAGCTAGCCGTGGAACCTTGCCACCCCATCCCTGAGACGATCACCGCGAAACGCCACAAAAGTTCCGCGAACTCGTGTTTACGTGCAGCTCGGCTTCTGAGAAGTAGGGAATTGACCCGTCGAAGTGACGAACTGAGGCGAAACATGGGAGGCTATGCAGGCCCTGCAGGCTTTTCGTCTTCTACAGTTACAGGGTGACCCACAGTTGATTGGTGGCTATGTTCGTAGTCGTAGACTTTATGCAACACTGCAGCGGTATGGCAGATCTGTGCAGTAAATAGATGGATCGGATGGGTTCCCGGTTCACTGCGCCTGCTCGGGCAAATATTGTGAGATCTTGGAGGGAACAACCAGAAGCAAGATGTATTCTGACATGCCAAAGCTCCGTTCTCGCAGCTACAAGGAAAGTGGCAAAGTGAAGCATATTGGAGTCAGCAACTTGACGGTGCAGTCGCTTATGGACGTGCTTTCCTACTGCAAGATCAAGCCAGGCCGAGTTTAGCAGTGTAGCACACTTGCGTTCGGAATGACAACCCATTGCTTCCAAAAATTACCGATCGAATCCGTGAGTGTACTTGAGTCGATCACTTCGAACTTGTGGAATTCCGTCGCCATTTTTGGTACAAGCTTCGAACTGAAACTTTTGATCTGTTTTCTCCCTCCTCGATCTACTGCGAAGTCATGGCAGCCCGGCGAAGCAACTCCTGGTTTGAGTTCCTTGGTGAAAGTCGCCTCGACGCTTTCTCTGAGAATGCCTTCGTCTCGCCGAGTATGCTGTCGCAGCTCCCCGAGGAGGTGAGTCCTACCGAAGTCATCTATGTACTTGAAGAACACTCGAATGCTGGTGCGTCCTCGATTTCTCGAGTCTAAAAATTGCAACCATCGGACCAAGTGCCGTTATCGGCATCCCGATTTCGTGAATCACAAATGGATTGTCCCATATTAGTTGTCCCCAACCTGATCTGCCATAAATGGTTCCAAGTTGCAAAGGGTCTGCAGTTCTCCGACGAATTGCTGGAATCAACATGGTCTTATCCTAGGCTGCAACAGGTACTTCGTGGTGACCGAGTCCCGTTCGCCTATGATCTGATATGGCCGACGGGGGCAAGATCCGGCAGATTTCCCGTGCAGAGGCCGCCGACTACATCGACAATGCGATGGCCGATTTTCGCCTCCGATTCGGAATTGGCGTTTTGGCACAAGCTTCACTTTGTTTACCCGTCTTGGGGTGTCTCCGAGGATGCGGTTCGAGTGCATGCAGAAGAGGAGGAAAGACGACGAAACCTACAGCTATCAACCGCGGATCTTCGCCGAGAGGCAGGGGACAACCTCGAGGGCACCAACGAGACCCCCTGCTGCATCTTGGTCGGACACGAAGCGCCCGAACACAGCGAGGAGAAATTCTTGCCCCGAGGTGACACCTCGACCAGGCCCGATTTGTAGTGCGGGCAATTGTCACCCTCAATGGTCCGGCGATGGAGACAGACTCCGATGCATCCTCTGCACCGAGATTTGGTGCTACCCGGTCTTCTTTCCGCCGAGGCGATGCAGAAGACCGAGGACAGCCGAGTTAAACCACGCAGAACGGATGGGCCGCCGTTTGCTTCCACCAAGGTGATGTGCGACGAGCGGCCTACTTCCAGGGTCGTTTGCCATCGGTGATAGTGCGACAATTTTTCTCCGAGCAGGCATTTTTCTACCTGTTAGAGGCCCGGGCCGCGATTTTGGCCCCGTTGGGCGGTTTCTACATTCAGTGCTGCGATAATGAGGCATCCAGACATGCGCTCATCAACGGGGTGGGCAAACGTCAACTACTCCATTGTGTTGTCGCGGCACATTGGACCTGGCACCGCGGACTTGCACACCGACTCGAACGAGAACCCACCAAGGCAAAGTTTCCGATGCATTCAAACGATTCGAAGATTTCGCCGAGGTTCGACAGTGGATGAGAATCGAGTTACTTTTCTCGACCAGCACGAGTACTGAGTAGGGAGTAGGGTCACGAAGAGATTTTCGGACATAATTTTTGCAGCCAATACTGGTACTGGCTTCTCGGCTGTACCGGGCACAGATAAGATACATCGAGCCCTCCGAGGGAGAGACGGTAAGGTCTCGTGGCGTTCGCCTGCGATGGGAGGACGAGACCACCACGGATGGGAAACGGTCGGTCCTCCAAACATCGAAAGAACGTTTCTGTATGAAATACGATTGAAACTTTCGATGAACCACATCACATTCCGAAGAGAGTCAGAACCACAGAGCATGCCACCGAAGCGAAAGCAAGTGGAAAAAAGAGTGCATAGCAGGAATCTATGCTGTACCTGTGAAAGCTTCTGTTGTCACAGTTGTAGTGCGTCAACATGAAACAATGCCCAAGGATGTTTTTTCTTCAGGTGGCTTGCCACTTCCATGATTCAACTGTTGGGATTCAGGTTGCATCGATTGCATGACATGTCTTGGATGATAGAAACAGTAGTGAGCGGACCAAACGAAGAAGAAGCTGCGCAGTCTGTGCAGTCACCCTAGCAAGTTCCGACCGGCCACTGTAGACAATCAACGATCTGAGCTCGTCAACTCGAAGCACAGCTGCCCCCGCAAGTGTATGCGACAGTCTGAGCGGCTGAAGTGCATCTCTTGAACGCTGAAAGCACCTGGTTTACCTTGATTTTTGAGCAGCAAGCAGCAGCAGCAAGAGAGACATGGCACCACGTTGCTTTCTTGCCATTTATCTCTCGACATTCCCGAGACCACAATGAGGGCAACACGTGTGCTCGCACGGATCAAAGCGGGTTGACAAAGGCTTTGTAGCACAGCAAGCCATGAACAAACAAACTTTTGAGCTCCGAGAAACAACGTGCCCTGCCATCCGAAGCCGTTTCCCTGGCCAGTTGTCAATCAGATTGAGAGCCACGTCTACCTGCAACAACCAGGGCTTGTTGAGTTCTGCAAGGCGGGGAACGCTGAATCTTGCCGACTCGCATAGTGGGACACAGTAGTTGGAGGTTTTTGCCGCTTGTGTAAAGAAGGTAATTCTAACGAGTTTTCGCGCCGACGGTGTCTCAGCAAAACTGGCAGGGTCCCTTGCAGGAAAAACACACGCAAGACATCGCTGGGATGTGTTCATCGCTTCGTGAGCTTGCAGGAATCAGGTCGTGGTCCTAATCCATGTTGCCCCCGAAATCACGGCAGCTCCAGGCACACGGGATAGGAGTGACAGCGTTCTCGCCGCTCGGAGCGTCACTGGGCCGCAGTCAATGCAAACTGGCGGTTTTGCTTGTAGCCGTCTTCAGTCACGCGTAATATGATGCCGATGGGAACATGCACAAGGGCCGAGACATCATGTCGACAGCTAAACCCCTGCCAACAAAAGTACTGGTACTTGAAGCGCAGTGCACCGGGAACGTAGGAAAGTTGACGAGTCGAGCAGATCGAACAAGAATTCCATGTTACCGGGTGCAGTTTGGTGCAAGATGATATTCCGTGTTTTTGCCAAATCCGCTATCCAGAAACAAGCATTGAATACTCAGACAAAACTCTGCTTCCAGTTCTGCCAGTAGCTCCGTTGACATTCAAGCGTTCGATGATGGGGCTGAAGCTTCAACAGAGCCACAGTTGAGTGTTGGACGTGAGACGTTTCTGCGATTTGAGTTTTGCCGCAGTTTTGCCTGTGAGTTATACTTGGCCTGATTGTTTTGAAGCTCTTCGGCCTTGTTTTACTTGATTCTGCGTCCAACGCATAAAGCCAGTGTTCAGGGTGCTGGGGCTTCTCGGCATCGAGGCGTCTTGGATAGCTGTGAAAACCAGTTTGTCGTTACGTTCTGTGTTCGTTGCAGCATGTTGTGGGCGTTGTTGTTCACCGTCTAGGCATGGATCAATTGCAAATAGAACTTGGGGAGCCTGAGTGAAGACATAGTGAATCTAGAACCAGACAGGAAGTCGTACATGAACATCGGCTT